CATGATGTCTTTCTTCAGTAGGGGCCAGAAACTCAATAAAAAATTCATACCAAAACCATCAGGACCCGGCACTTTATTGTCATCACAAGATTTCAAATCATCAAGGACCTCTTCAGCAGTAAAATCTTCTTCCAGAGACTGTCTGTGTATTTCAGATATTCTGACAAAAGGAATAACATCCAATTTGGGTCTAAAGGTATGCTCATCCCTGTACAGGTTCTCAAAGTGTCTCCTGGCAGCCCCTTTCAATTCAGAATTCCCCGAAATTTTCCTCTTTTCCACCAGAATTTCCTCAATATAATTAATCCTGCGCCAATCGGAAGCTAAAGCATGGAAATACTTTGTGTTTTTTCCCCCCCTTTCAACCACTTCTCCCTAGATTTTTGTTTGCACAACAATTCCTCATCCTTCAAAATAGAAACCAGCTGTAATTTCAAGGTACCCCGCTTGTTTCTTTCATCCTCATCAAGACCAAATTCATCCTCTTTAGAATCCAAATCACTGATCTCGGACATAACAGACTAAAATCTGCATTTCTCTTTCAATCTCTCCTCTTTAGTCCATCTCTTAATCGCATTCTTCAAGGCTTTGAGTTTGCAAGTAAATATATAGCTAGCGCAACCCTAGATCCCACAATTCCTCCAACAACCTTCAACCAGTGACCGGAATTCTTCATTCCTCAGCCAAATATTCTCCAGTCGAAAAGGAAAAGGGCCCCATTGGATTCCCTCGGCCTCCAAGCATATAGGGTAATGATCAGAGGTGGGGCGGGGCAGAATTTTGTTACAGACATTCGTCAAATCCAGCAGAAAGTCAAAAGAGATAAAAAATCTGTCGATTCTGGATCGGTTGTTTTGGTTGGACCAAGTCCATTGGCCATTTGAGATCGGTAAATCATCAGCTCCCAGATTCTCCATGGTAACTCTAAATTCATCAGCTTCAATCCTTGAGAAATTATTACCACCTTCTCAAGATCATGTTAAAATCACCTCCAATAACCCACTTAACACCCCATTTGGATCTACATGCTGTCAATTCTTCCCAAGTTTCGTTTTATCCACATGATTGCCCCTACAATAAACCCCGGTGAACATCCACTCAACATTACCTCTACCGTTTTCGAAAACACACAACAAGGTGTATTCACCTTTAATCACATCTATGCAGCTCACACAATCCTTCCTCCAAAGAATAACCATCCCTTCAGCCGACCCATTAGAAGGAATTGCATGCCAGTCCCTACTGTTATCCCACCATAGACTTTTGATCATTTCAGTTGATAAGTCAGCCACTTTCGTTTCTTGCAAGCATACAATGGAAAGCTTTCATTTCTTCAAACAACCTCTTATAATCAGTCTTTTCCCCCTACAGTTAATTCCACGGACATTCCAGGAGACAATCTTTCCTATCATTTGCAAAATATCCTATCTCCACTTGCCGCCTTTCCAGCTTCTTTTCTACCTTCATAATTTATGGAGGATTCCAGTCTTTTTAACTCCCTAGAGGTACCATGACTCATTTTCTTCTTCTCTTTAAGTGAATGCCCGGTATTCTTTTTTAGCAGATTTCTTTTTTCAATTTCAGAGAAAAAGAAATAGGATAAATTTTCCATACCTTCAAGTGAAACACCCATTGACTTGCCTAATTTATTCACATTGTTGATCACCCACTGTGAGCAGTAATCCTCCACTTGAGCCGAGACATTGACACCCTCCAAGCTCAACTGAATTAATTCTTCTATTTCCGATCCGTGCACAGTATTTAAAGCCAGAGCTTCTTCCTCAACCACCACTAATTTCTGGTTCCATATCGGAATTTCATCCCTTGAGTATTCGACCATATTCTTCCTTTCTCCTTCAAAGTCCTCCATTGTGGAGAAAATAGAACACGTATCATCTTCTTCTCGATCTCCATGTTCCATAATCCTAGTTACAACATCCGTTCCTCTCTCATACACTTCATTTTCTTTTTCATTGGCGACAAACCCTAATTCTTCTTCTCCTGATTCTTTTTCCCTTGTTTTGTACCCTAGGGTCGGGTGAAAATTGCTCTTCGTATTTTGTTCTTAAAGATTTGCCCCGGGTCGGGTGTGGGACTGGGCCTGGATTCGGGTTAAGTCCATCTGCCATAATTTTTCATTTTTCCTTTTCTCTCCAAGTGTAACGTTTCTTCTCTTTCAGTTCGTTCATTTTGTGGTCTTGATTTCGGCCCAAACAACTCAGATTACTTTCAACCATATTTCCAAAACGCCAAGGTTTCATGCCGTTTCTAATAAGCCTCTTGCCCAGCTTATGTTGTTTTCCCGGGTCGACCCACTTCGAAACACCAACAGATTTTTTCTGCCCTACCCGCAACACACATTCTTCCACATTTTGCAGTGCCACCGCATAAGTTCGAGCACCATCGAATTCCATCGAAACGTTGATTGGGGTATTGCAATGTGGACAGTGAAAGAAGCTTTCCACGGGCGATTCTTCTTAATCAAATTCTTCTCGGGTAGCTCCCCATTGTTCCTTTGCCTCAAACACACTTTTAGGACATTTTACTGGTTTATCCGCCAATTCAAAGGCTGCCACCATCAGTTTCCACCATCCTCTCCCCCGCATTCCCCTTGGAAAGAAGATTCTCTTTGCCCAACGATCTCCTTGTACTGTTAACACCAAATACTCCCCTCTTCTATTTGAACCAAAAGTCAACCATAATTCGTAGTTCATTTTTACCAAGTGTTTAGCCCACGTGCCCGGTCTCCTTCTCCACCAAAATTCATCCATTGCATCAAGGAACCATTTATGTTCCTCTTTGTCTAAGTAAATCGATTTTTGGAACCCACATCCATTTTTGGTAATTCGCAGGCCATCAGCTTTCTTTCCTTCACAATATAAATCATAAGATTTATTCTCGATAGCGAGAAATCTTTGTCCATACGAGCTCATGGAAAAGGTTTGGGTTAGGGTTGGCCAAGATGGCCGACTAGGGTTACGATATGGGGAGAAGGGTTTCCTCTTGAGAAGGCGATCTCCTCGAGTTGGAAAGATTCCTCTACGCAATCAGGTGTTAAGAGGGGCACATATTTACAATCGGCAAGCAAGAAATGAATAGGATATGTGGCTTCAATCCGGGATAATTGTTGATGCTATTAAAATCTTGTTCAAACCCCTCAAAAACCCTTTTGTTTCTCTCATTCCAAATAACCCAGAATAGTGTAAAAGGAATTAATCTAAGCGCTTTGTCACTGCATAAAAATTCGTATGCCAGAAGTTCAGAATAAACAGAATCTGTCATTACCCAATAAATCCCCAGAAGCCCGAGTATCATGCTCCAAAATTTGTGAAATGTTTGACTTTTTAAGAGTAGATGATTACATGATTCAAGAGATCTCTTACATAAAAAACACCTGTTAACAGTAGTATGCCCTCTTTTCATCAAATTGTTCATTGTGAGAATTTTCCATTTTGCAGCTTCCCAAGCAAAAAAAAAACTATTCTTGTGAGAGCACCCGATTTCCAAATGATTTTTGAGGGGAAAGGATATTTTTCATTAGAGTTATGACCATCCAGAAAAGAGTTGAGATATGAATCATTTGTTTAGTTAGAAGTATCCTGTACATCCAAAACCTTTGGAGAATTGGGTATTAAGAATTTGATATCCAAAAGCTTGTCTTTATTGATTAAATGTTTGGTGGCATATTCTGCAAGAACCTTCTTCACTGTGGCACATAAACCCTGTGGAAGCCATCTCCAGTCCAATTAACCTATTTACCCCTAATATATTCCAGGCTAGGAGATGTTCGCAGTTTTAGGGTTTCTAGGTGGCTTTAGGTTTTTATTTTGAATGGTTGTTTTAGGGTTTCTATGGTGGTTTTAAGGCTTGTTATGGTTGTTTGGTGTTTCTAGAGTGGTTTAAGTGTTTCTAAGGTACTTTACAAGCTCCTAAGATGGTTTTAGGACTTCTAGGATTTTTTAGGATTTATAAGGCGTTTGTATGGTTTGTTAAGGTTGTTTTGGATCTTATAGCATGGTTTTAGGTTTTTTTCGGCAGTTTTAGTGTTTCTAAGGTGGCGCCGTATGAT